AAAAGTGCTCAGAAGTAGTGTATTCCTATGTTTTCGCTTATGAGGAATTCAACAATAAAGGTCTCATATCGCAAAATTCAAAGGCAATTTTGCAGGACAAAAATTTGAGGTGTCCACATACTTTTACGCACTGTATGTTATGTTATGTTTATTACGCTGCATAAGGCAAACGTGAGAGAATAGAACAAACAAAGAACGACGAAAGAAAACCATTGAAAATAGTAAAAAGACAACGACACATCAAACTCGGAAAATACGCTTGCTAGTATATCAAGAAAATATCAAACTCATTAAAGTGGAATGATGCGACTCGAGCTGGCAACGATCCGAGACTAGACTATTCAATTACTGGTCAAGTTAGGAAATTCTGAAGTCAATCTCAAACAACTAGGATGTTCCATAACTAACTAGGGAAGGTCGTCAGGTCGAAGTGGCCATTTGTGATGAGATGTAGATCACTAGACGTGGTTTTGGACGCTGATCTTGAATCTGCCTTCAAAATTTGCAAAGCGATTCTCTGAACGGAGTTATGGAGCCGCGTTTACCACGCAACAGGTCATGGGATCGGATCCCTGCTGAGCTTAACTTTTTTGCTTGTTGCGCAAACGTGGCAAAAAGTGATTTTGCCGTCACTACTACTTCAGTTCTCACCTGAGCTTGTCTGAAGAAAAGTTTGCCTCCATTTATTACTGCGCTTGGACTCCTTGTAGAAGCACTGTAGTGCACTGTAGTCTACAAGGAGTCCAAGCGCAGTAATAAATGGAGGCAAACTTTTCTTCAGACAAGCTCAGGTGAGAACTGAAGTAGTAGTGACGGCAAAATCACTTTTTGCCACGTTTGCGCAACAAGCAAAAAAGTTAAGCTCAGCAGGGATCCGATCCCATGACCTGTTGCGTGGTAAACGCGGCTCCATAACTCCGTTCAGAGAATCGCTTTGCAAATTTTGAAGGCAGATTCAAGATCAGCGTCCAAAACCACGTCTAGTGATCTACATCTCATCACAAATGGCCACTTCGACCTGACGACCTTCCCTAGTTAGCTAAGGAGTGAGGATATACTGCTCCAATTCAAATGTCTTAACTGCGTATCAGTTAGTACACTGAGTATTAGATCATATGCATTTACATTTGTGCAAAAAATTAGGAATCCATTTCCACTCCTAGTGTGTTTACTTTGATAGAGACTGTGTTGGTCTTGTAATAATGATTACCCTTTAGCGGTCACGCTACTTCTTTCACCTTTAACCCATTATATGTAGACGTCAAACCCCAACTCACTGATGAGCCTCGGGGGTTTGACGTCTAAAAAGTGATTCGTCTGAGTTAGAGGCGAAACGAATCACTTTTCTTTTACATACTTACCAAATTACAACAACTTCTTGCTACTTCAATTGAACTTTTATAAGCCCTGCCATACCTCATGGGACTAGAACAATGCTTAAAAATTATCATTTGCCACAATTTTTTTATCGCGCGAGAAATCTTTACAAGGCTACGAGAAATGGAAGGCAAGCAGTACCCTCTAAATTTCGGGCGACGATTTCCGGACTCTTCCGATTACGTTGCGATAAGCGAATGTGTTGACAACATAAAAAGTCTCAGATTTCATTGTTAAGGCGACATAATGCTGCGACTTGCTATTCTGCTTCTTCTCATATCTTCATGTATGGCGTTACTGGGCTTCCTCGGAAGAGAACAATCGGTAGCTGTTACTGGACGACTCATTTGTGAAGGAAGACCGGCGTACGATGTTAAGGTGAAACTGTACGATAAGGAAGTCGGTATGTATTGATTGAGGTTGCAGTCCCCTTCACTAAACCGAAACCAAAGATTTTATTCGGGAGCGAGTATTCCACTAACTGAACGTCATCACACTACAGAATATTTCAATAACATTTCAGTGCTCGATAGCAAGCTGGGCCAAACTCGCACGAACAGGAATGGTGAGTTCAGGGTGTCAGGACACAAGAGAGAATTCAGCACCATTGATCCGAAAGTGAACATTTACCACAAGTGCAACTATCGTGGAGTGAGTTTTCGATATCCTTATGGTTCCATATCGATTCGCCCACTGGGTAATAACTTTTCACTGTAGACACTGAGTCGAAACGTTTTTGTGATGACTTGAACACGATATAAGGGGGTTTGCTCGACAACCTGATTACCACTATGACATTAATTCTATCGCCGCAACGGACCACATCGTTTTTTGGTGAATCCCCAACAGGGGAGGTCGTAATTGGTCGCCGGGAGAGGGAGTAGTCGTATCTAGGTTAAGAAAAATTCATTGCGTTGCGGCAGTTGATTTTGCTCGCTTCACGGACCTTGTAAAGGGGGGGGATCGTACTTGCTCATTGCTGGGAGGGTGCGGGTCGTATTTAACTTCTTGACCGAGTGTGCACATATAGTTTGGGATGACCTTATTACTTTTTCGCACCTCGGCATAGCCTGCAGTGGATACCCCAGATTAATTGACACTCGCACACCCTGACTGGTGACTCTCACTGCAGGCCCACACAAGATAGAAATAACAGGATATGGAATGTTTGCATAAAAAACGAGATATGGATGTTTTGCATACTTTTATACTTTTTTTTATTAAAATATATATATACAAGAGCTAAGAATAAATTGTAACAAACACTACGCAAAGCATGGAAATACAAGCATTTTAGAATCCCGAGGAAAGCACACTATTATAATCTCCATGTTGTCCCTTCTTGAAACCTCGGCATGATGTCGAATATTTAGTTACTTCTGCCAAACGAGGTTTTTAGATGACACCTTTATTGGCCTTACGTTTCGACCTTCTCGTCTTCTTCAGAGGCCTGAAAATGGCTCGAAGCTTTTAATTTGTTACCTACCCGACCAAACGCCCTCCCCACTCTAGCGTTTCCGACCTTGTTTCCCAAACGCTTCCCAAAAACTCGGTAATGAGTCCTAACAACTCACCGAAGTATCACCGTGCGGAGCTTCCAGACTGAATCGCGTTAGTGAACGCAGTAAGGACGAAATGGAGTACTAGAGACTGTGTCGCAAAAGTCAAAAATTGTTATAGCGCACGTAGTATTCTGATAACTAGCTGTCTGAATACGGGTTATTTGTAATAGCCAGACACTCATTTCGGTTGTTCATTCTTGGTTTTCTCGCGAAAATCCAGAATGACTCCAGAACTTTCCTGGCTGAAGTTTCCGTCTCGTACGCCAGTATAACACATTTAACATCGAAGTCGTTCCCGTTATGCTGCTCCACCTTAT